ATGTCAAATCGGCAACTCGTTGGAGAAGCTGCCAAATGCCGTCGCGCTAGTCTCGTGTTTACAAACGAAGAACTCCTAATTGACAACCTGTCGATCCAACCTCCCTGCGGATAAGTGACCGCACCGTCAAAGCCTTCAGTTTTGCCAACAAAACAGAGGTATGACATTTTACGTACAACTGACAGCGGATTTTTAAACGGTTAAATGTGCCAGTTTTACTCGACAATCTACAGCAGGTGCACTGAGTTCACCATCAACGTGATGTGGATACTCACTGGGGTTTCTTACTCACACGAGCTTATGTGCTGCAAAGCAGTCTATTTCTCACGATGTCCCTAAAATCTACAAGCGACATATAGTCATTAGAAATCGTATTCTTCAGTTGCTAAACAACAAAGGTCACGACAGGGCGGAACACAAACGAACTGGTGACAACTGCGTATATGGGCAAGTCAAAAAAGCGAAGAAACAGTGAACGAAGGTAATAAGAGGACTCAGATTTCAGTATCAAATAAAACTTATCGATAAACTTATCTCCAATCTGAAAAGTCTATTCCGTTATACGGCCTTTCCTCGACAGGCCAAAACCAAAATTTGTCAACTCCCCTTTCCTTGATTTATATAAATGATCTTCCACAGAAGGTATCGTATGATTTATTGTTTTTCGCTGATGCCTTGAACTGTGGAGAGTATTCAACGAAAAAGATAAACTAACACTTCGGGAGGATCTCACTTCAATTCATATTTAAGCAGATGACAAAAAATTGTCTTTACCACTCAGAAGTGTAAAGTAGTTCATTTGAGACATTTAACAGACTGCGTATACAACTTGGGTAACTCACTTCTAGAAGTATCCCAAGTTCAAAACTGTCTAGGAGTGTTGGTACCCCATGATCTGAAGTCTTACGCTAACTACGACAAAATGCTTTCGAGAAAACCTCTCATTGATAACATTGAAGCGCATTTGCTATCAGTTCGACGGGAGAACTTTCCACATAATCTTCAACAGTCTTATTCATCCCCAATTAGAGTATGGAAACAGTATTTCCTCCCTCACTCCGAAAGGACAAAGACGCTCTAAAATTATCCAATGGCGAGCCATGAACTCATTTTGGGGACGCAAATTTAAACCTTATGAATAGTGCCTCCAATCACTGAACCGTTACCATTAGAGTACAGACGTTTTAGAAGTGACCTAGTAGAAGTCAGTTATTATAGGTTCGTGAATATCAACACTATGAACTAAATCAGAAATCAGTGGCATCATTAGCAAAGTTGAAAAATAATTGGTGCATATTTTTTGTCCAGCTTTGAAGTAGAAAAATATGAAACAGATTGGTGAAAGTGAACAGAAGTTTGAGCTAAATTGTAGTCTTTGACATATATCCCCCTGATTATGGTTAAATTGATCCATATCTCGAAGAATAATACAATTGAATGGATAACGAGCCTCAGAATTGCAAGCGATTTTCTAGCTGTCGCGAAAGTCCATTGCGGTCGTTTGTTTAACAGCATCAAAATAAAATGCAAGTTGACTAAGCGGCAGGTGCGTATCAGTCCCGTTTAATTAGTAATTGGTAGGTCCTTCTCATGTTGTATATATTTACTACATACTATAAAGTCGCTATGGATGTATTATTTATCTGTGACATCAAATTTGTACATCTCTTTGACCATTAATCTTTTTATATTTTTATGTATAGTTTTCTTCGCAAGATTTGAGTGATTTCCCCAAAATTTTCTATAGCGGCTTCCTCACAATAGGGAGATTGGGATAGAAAATAAGGTGGAAGTAAATGAAATTAGAAATGTTACTTGTAATTTCGTATTTCTTTCTGTTTCTTTTCCATTTCATGTACATTACTTTCTCCTTTTCTGACGACTTGGATCTCCTGTCTAACTCCTCGGGTTTGCTCTCTTCCTGAATAAAAATTTCATCATAAGTGCTCTTTGCAATCCAGTTAGTGAAAGAATATCATATAACAGTTTCAACAAATGTTCAGGGTTAAATACATGCCATTAGCTTAATTAGGTACAATGTTTCCCTCCGACGTTTTTTACCGATTGATCTATTAAGATACTCAGTATACAAATAATGACGACACCTCTGTTAGATAGACCAACCTAATTAATCCTCTTTTGACTGCTCTTAGCAACAGTATAAACATGTTTAGGCTGGGTATTTTTCAATGTGCGGTATCTGAAAGTTGATTTTGATATCCGCTTTTTTTCAGGCACGAACCTGGCTGTAAGAGAGGAAAGACGGAGAACTATAGAAAAAGCTTATTTGGTTAAGCGGAATAACACGTGCTACTATATATATATATATATATATATATATATATATATATATCACTATCCAAACCATCAATTGAGAGTAAAGTAGTTGAACATGACCCCTTCACTTATCTTATCAGCCTTACCAACAATTATGGATATATGTTTAACAACTACTTGACCGGCTGTTGCCAACATTTGTCACTTGTGATACCTTCCAGTTGAACGATGAGTGTATCGCATAACAGTCGTTCCTGTTTTGGTTCATAGTTGTGAAACGTGACTCTCAAAGACAAACGGTATTCGTAGGCTTATGCTGTTGAAGTATTACTCCTGTGTATTGAGAGCATCGAGTTAACAACTTTAAGTCTAGACGCAAGGTAATAGAAATAGCAAGTGGGTTGACAAGACTACGTCTTCACCAACTATGAAGATTAAAACACCCATTACATATCCATGACTAACACATACCTCAATGCGTGGTCTCTTGGTTCAGGGGCGGGTTAGAAGAAAACTAGGTCAGCCAAACTAATAGGTAGCATCAGTCCACAAAGTCATTTGCTGCTGGTCCAAGCTACAAAGGTAGGTTTGCACTGTCGATTATCGTAATTGATGGTTGAAGAAATCAGATGACATAGCTTAGAATTAGTCACTTTGGTGCAGACCAACTCACTCTTTCCTTGAAATCCAGACTTAAAATTATTTTTTATTTCAAGTCTTTTTTAAATCATATTGCCTGTGTCTAATCCTTCTTACTGCCACTGACTGTTATTGTTTTTACTATGGGATATTTCTTGACGATTTCATCTCTGTGTTAAATGGGGTATGGCATTGTGAACCAATTTATTTATAAACCAGATTATACCCGACGTATAACTGGGTGAGTAAATCAAGATATAGAAATGTACATAAGAACGGATATGGTCTGCCACTAAAACATCAACCTGGACAATAATAGATTTTCCTGGAGCATAGTATTCTCGGAAATCTATTGAAATTTATGCAATTAATCGGGTAAATCCTTTGGGATTCATTTATCGCTTTCAGTCCACAATATGGCTTTAAATCTTGTCTATATTTTCAGCTAGGTTGATCAGTAATAGTAAAGTAACCTAGTACGTCGACCACGTCGCTTATTTTAAGGTCTCGTATACCACGTTTGGCTGTTGGTTGACAAATTACTAGCACGGGTTCAGGAAGTTCGCATACCTGTCACCGGCCAAATAGGGGTTGAAGGTACTGCTCAACAGTCCGCTTAGCTGTAAAGCATGATCTTCAGATATAAAAAAAAACATGCTTTTACTTTTGCATTATATATGTATTCTGTTCAGGAAATTTCGTAATATTTCAACTTTCTTCCTATTCTTCAGCTTCCGTAGCTTATGATGTAAAATAACATGATCACATAGTAAATTGCTGCAGAATATTTTCAAAGCTGTTCTCAAACTTCGTATATCAGTCGACCTGATAATAATTATTGCAAAGATCCCGAAGTGTATAACTTTCAGAAGGCAATACGAAGTCGTAGTAGTAGTTTTTTCATCATAGAATAAATCAAACAATCAACAGACGATGAGAAGTATAAGTTGACAAATTAATTAATTAACCCCATAAACAAATATATAAAAGCATGCTAATAAATCATCAAGCGTTTTAAAAAACCAATATTTAGACGAGTCCCGACCGTTGTTGCTACCTTGACGTGGTGGTCGGGCTTGTCTATCGTGATGAAGCAACCGAGCTATACTGGCTGGAACAACCGTTCCTCAAGGTCCTACCATGTCAGACAGGTCGGTTGAAGAGCGGTAAGACTAAAAGCAACAAACCCAAGGTCCGAAGGCGAAGTCGTACTGCTGACTGTACAGAGGTGTGACAGCAGTAAGGTGTTTCTTTCAGACAACCAGCATGACAGCGATGCTGCCTTCCCACAAGGAGGGGTGGGGTTAGAAAAGGTCGACCCTAAAAATACACACCTCACCTTACCTCACGGATTTCCGTCTCCGGCGGCAAGGCCCTTTGAAGAACGGAGCTAACTCGTCAAAAACCTCCCACGAAAAGGCCGTGCGCGACCGGCCTCAAGCAGTTGTCCCTTGGGCACTGCGGCCACGCTCTCAGGTCACTGAGACCACCTCTAATCCAATTTCCTTTTCAGGTACCTCCAGAAGAACCCTTCCTCGGTGTGGGCAACCGGGAATTGATAACCGCCCTCATACCTCTAACAGCACTCGAGATTTAGACGAGTTAGAGGAGTATATGCATGGGTTGTTTCATGTAATCAGTCATACGTTTTTTATATAAGCATGGAAGTATGTGTTTAGAGAAGTAGCCAAACTGTTTGTTAAGTAAGCTAAATATGCTGATGAATCTAAAGATATATAGACTCGAGTGGCGGTGAGTGTGTTATAAATTTCAGTACCTGTGTATTAACAAGGGGCTTAGAAATAATCCCTCTAGTCAGACTTGTGGCCTGACTACACATGGCGACTAAAGCATTTGGTTTTGGAACATTGCATCTCAGACCTTAGTCCCACTATATTTTTTAAGGTTCAGGATTCCACTTAGTATCATTAGTTTATCTCTTGGTGAATAAACCTCTTCTTGATTGCTAACCTTCACTATCTTAGTTACTCACATAAGTAGGTTGTTTTGCCAGTAGTATATTACAGTAATCTACGTATTTGTTTTCATGGTAGATATATTACGAGAAGTTTCACTCTATTATAATGTCAGAGGATAGTGATTTTAAAATTTTGGATTACTTGCATATGCAACTGAAGCCTGGATGGACCAAAAAGGGAATAACTGAATTCCTGAAAGAAGCAGAAAAGCGCGAAGTTTTATACACAAGAGCCCGTAGAGATGATATGGAGAAGGCAATCGCTCAATTTAGAAGTTCTGCTTTGAATTTCATAGCCAGACTACCGACTGAGATACGAAGTAAACCTTACTTTGATTGTATCAACCAGTATAATGGGGATACAGGAGCAAATGTAAGTTGTACTCAAAGTAGTACTATGTGCAAGTTTTGATTTCAATAATGGTACAGTATCCAGTAGTATGTTTTTTATAGTCTGCTTCACGGTTAGCTAGGGTTTTAAGATCGGTTTATGATTGAGCTATTAAAAATCAGCTCTCGCTGTTGCACTAATGTACTTTCCGCTGTAGGATTTGTCCCAAAATTAAAAAAATCTGCTTAATAAACCCACTACTTCTGTAATCTCTAAAATAAGTTTTCTCTGCAATAATATATGATACTGTTGATCATCGTGGATATGTAGAGGTTGAACCTATTTGTAACTAATCACTAATTCACTTTACCACGTAACCTCTAGGCATTAAGCTTTTAATGATTCCGTAATATATCCAAGTCCCGCTGAACATACTTTCTTATTTTTTGTGGTGTTACTAGTTGTTGCACTGAGAGGGTATTTTCAAACAAAGCACTCAAACTTGTATTTTGTTACAAAGTGGAATTAATGAGCGAAGTTTCTTTTTCAGGAAAGACCGTTAACGATCGAATGCATATACTTCTCTGGATACCTTTACCCATTTTTCAACTTTCTGTTTCTGCAACTGACAGTGACATTCGAATAATTTTGGCTTTGAAGGCACCCATGTTCAAATACTTAACATCTTTAGTGTTCATATTAAACCCTTGTGTCTCGGCCATTAAACTACGAAAACAACTGATTTTTTTAAACAAAGTATCTTATTAATGTCATAAATAATCCGTGTTTTTTAAACACTAGACGAGTTATCTATATTGCAGCTTTTTGTGTAACAACACATTCGAAGGCTAACTTGACTTATGGGATTTTTAAGACCCAGAAAGTAATAGTTATATGACTACTCCCTGTTTTTCTTAGTCAACAATTTTAGATAAAAGACTTGCGAATAAACCAATATCTGTGTAATGTCTACAAGATCTACATCATTGTCTAAGTTGTGTTTAAGTAGTATCTAACTTCATAGATTGGAATTTCTGGAAGTAATTATCCCTATAATATTCGAATACATAAACTAGGGTTACAGTATTTTGGTTTGTTGTAATCTTTTATCTGAGATTAACACAAACAGCTTTTGTAAATGTCATGCAAAACAACTTTATTAGAATTGATATCCTTTAAATATCCATATCGACATAACATACTTTCGTTTACATTTATGTTATTGCATTAGTTACTTGACCAGTTGGTGTCTGAGGTAAAAAAGCGTAGTCGACTAGAATGGGAAGATTCTGTAAAGACTCGTACCGGAAAAAGACCATGTAGAGGACATACTACAAGTAATTGTCGAAGTGCAAAGACATCTCAAGCATCCACTAATCCACAGTTGTCACAATGGCCGTCTATGCCATTTATTTCGGAAGATGGAGAGTTAACAAATATTAATGATGTCGGTCAAGTTCCAACTCTAAATACTTCTCAGGTACTTCTCGTTACTGCAGTTATTTGTTGTCGATTGTTTGATTATTTTTATGTTATCTAGTTCATATTGTGTAAACACAGTTCTAAAAATACAACTACCTAGCTTCTTTCCTATACCTACGCATTTCCGCAATGATGTCCTTGGCAACATCTTAACGATAATTAGACTTGAGACTATTTGTGGAATTCAAGATAGATATTTAGTCCAGCTTATGATTACTGTATAATCATCTTACTCAGTAATTTACCAAACGAGTAAATGACAGTTTGAACCTCGTACCTAATGCACGCCAAATCAAAGTATTTTTTATGAATTATCATTCCTAAATCTGATAGTAAATTATAATTATCATGCAGTCCTTAAAAGAACGACACTCTATTTCGAATGGTGTTGACGATCTTCTCAGGTGCACCATAGTGTCGAGGAAGATTCCATAAGGCCCTCCTATCCACACTGTCAAGTGTCTTCTCATAGTCCATTCAATTGATTGTTTAACAATGATCCATAGTGTTGCGGTTCGGTCTAGGCACGACCGATCCTTATAGAATCCAGCCTGTTGATGTCGGAGTTGGGCGTTTACTGAATCCTTCATTCGGTCCAAAAACACTCCGTTGAACACTTTTCCTGGCACTGATAGTAGTGTGATTCCTCTGTAATTCTCACACCTACCCGGATCTCCTTCCTTTGGCATCTAGATGAGATATCTTTCTTTCCAGTCTGTCGGCACTTGTTCTTCCTCCCAAATATTTCTGAATATAATGTAGAACATCCTTGAAGTTACCTGTATGTCTGAATTTGGTGTTTTAGCTGGTATGTTGTCTGCTCCTGCTGCTTTTCCACTCTTGATTTGTTTGATATCCATGCTGATTTCTTCAGTCGTTGATGGGGTGACAGCTATATAAAGGTCTGTAGGTGCTGTTCGAATGTCCAGTAGGTTCACTATGGCTGGCCTATTCAAGAGTTCCTCGAAGTATCCAACCCATCTGTTGCTCTGTTCTGAATCTCAGTGATTGGCTTGCCTTCTTTGTCTTTAACCAGTTTCTCTGGTTTACCATATTTCCCTATCAGTTTCTTTGTCGTGTCATATAGTTATTTCATATTTCTTTCTGTTGCATCTTTTTCCACTGTCATGGCCAGGTCTTCCACATATTTCTGCTTGTCGGTCCTGATTCTCCTCTTCACTCTCTTGTTTGTTTCTGTATCTTCGGCGTGTTCCTTAACTTTCTCTCTTCTTGTTCGACTGTTGTTAATTGGTGTCTTCTTGCTCTTCCTTTCTTGAATCTTGTCCAAGCATCATCCTGATGATGATGTTTGTTGCAGCCCAGAACATCCTGACACGTTGAAGTGCCACCTATAACCATTTTATTGAATACACATAAATTTGCAAATCTCTCACCATCTTCATACCTTTTTCCCAGTCCATGTCGTTCTATGATGTCGTCATACCCGTTGTTGTCCGCTCCCATCATGATGGTTATGTCCTTTTCTGGACACGTCTCTACGGTGGACTTCAGTCTCATAAAACTGATCTTTATCGTCTTCATTGTTATCATTGGTGGGTGTATAGCACTGCATAACATAAGATTCCTATCGTATAAGCGCTTTTCGTGTTTTTTTGGACAGCATCAGAGTAACTCCTTTCGTGTATGAGACATTTTATTCTTCATGAGCAATGTAAAACAGCATCTGTCCCCAATCTAATCCTTTTTGTCTAGTTTAGACCTAACAGGTTTCACTCATCCCAAGCACCGCCAAGATTTATCTCTTTATTTCCACAGCTATTTGGTCGGTCCCTCTGGTTTCCCACACTGTCCGGACCATTCCATGTACCTATATTAATTGTTGTTCTGATTTTCAGAAGGGAGATTGGTCTCGTGATTTTCGAAAAGTCTCGACTTTTGTCGTGAGGCGTAATAATTCTTCTGAATGAAAATCCTTCAACTTCAAGGGCGAAATTTGAGTGATTTTTTTCTAATTAGCGTTCCTCTAGCGAGGTTGTTTTCTACGGGATGGGTTGGTGACCTAATGCCCAACCCTCTTTCTTTGTCCGGACAGTAACTCTAAAAGAGCTACATATGAAGTTTATGAGTTTATATGTGTGTATCCCTTACCCTATTCATCGCATGTCGTTAGCTTAACTGCCTGGATATAAATAGTTAGTTACACTTTTTCAAATGAAGTTGGGAAGCTTGCTTTCTCTGCCTCCATAGGGAACACAAGACAGCTTTACAGACTAATAAAAGAAACTGGAATTAATAAGTCAAGTGTAAGTGAGATTATATCGGAAAAAGACGATACCCTCATCTGCTCCCAGTCCAGACGTTTAGAACGATGGGCGGAACATTTTAGAGAACAGTTCAGCTGGCCTTCAGCTACTCTACAACTACCCTCCATTCCCAGACAATGTGAATGGAACATTGAAGTAGGTCCCCCAACTCTTGCTGAAGTTGAGAAGGCTATAGTTAATCTGAAACGAGGAAGGGCAGCTGGTCCAGATGGATTGACCCCAGAGGTCTTTAAGGATGGTGGTCCAATTTTAGCGATTAGGTTGACTAATATTTTAGCTAAGATCTGGGAATTAGACCTTATCCCATCTGACTGGTCGCAATCACTTATCGTCCCAATATATAAGAAAGGGTCAAAATCATCCTGTGACAACCACAGAGGGATTAGTTTAACAAACATAGTATCTAAAATACTGGCCTCGATAATTATCACGCGCCTAACTAAGACTCGTGAACTACAAACACGAGAGAACCAAGCTGGCTTTAGACCTGGTCGTGGCTGCATCGACCACATATTCACCATTCGTCAGGTTCTAGAACACAGGCATACTATCGGCGTCCGACGATGGTGGTCTTTCTTGACTTAAAAGCAGCATTTGACTCTGTAGACCGCGAGATTCTGTGGCAGTGTCTGTCATTGAAAGGCGTACCTCAGAAGTACATAAACCTTGTGAAGGCTCTTTACTCGAACACTACTAGTCGAGTCAGGGCTTATGGCGAACTGTCATCTACTTTTGCAACCTCAAGTGGTGTCCGTCAAGGCTGCCCACTTTCCCCATTTTTGTTTAACTTCATCATAGACCTATTGATGGAAATAACACTCTCGTCGACTGAATTCTCGGGTATTGATCTCCATCCAGGAGGTCCACTTATCGACTTAGAATACGCAGATGACATAGTCCTGTTTGGTGAAGACGCTGACAAAATGCAGAGTCTTCTGGTAGCACTAAGCAACAATGCCAGAATGTTTGGGATGCGCTTCTCTCCCTCTAAATGCAAGTTGTTGCTTCAGGACTGGTCTGCGTCAACACCTGAACTAAGGATAGGGAGTGAAGTAGTCGAACGCGTTGACAACTTCACTTATCTTGGAAGTCTGATCAGCCCTAATGGGTTGGTGTCTGACGAAATCTCAGCACGGATTCGAAAAGCTCGTTTGGCTTTTGCCAACTTACGTCACCTTTGGCGGAGGCGAGATATCCGTCTATCAATAAAAGGACGAGTATACTGCGCGGCAGTTCGTTCTGTTTTAATTTACGGCAGCGAAACATGGCCCTTAAGAGTAGAAGACACCCGTAAGCTACTAGTATTTGACCACAGATGCCTTAGAAATATTGCTGGCATCTGCTGGGATCACCGGGTAAGTAATAGTGAGGTTAGACGCAGGGTATTAGGGAATGATGGTAAATCAGTTGATGAGGTTATGAATCTTCATCGACTGAGATGGTTGGGCCACGTGTTACGTATGCCTGAACACCGATTACCACGACGTGCAATGCTAACCGGTGTAGGGGATGGTTGGAAGAAAGTTAGGGGCGGCCAAACCAAAACGTGGCATCAGTGCCTGAAGTCACTAACTTGTAGTCTGAGCCATGTTGGTAGATGCAGACTACTTGGTTGGGGTCCGCGTGACTTTCGTAACCAATGGTTGGAGACTCTTGGTGACATGGCTCAGAATCGATCACAATGGCGTCGGTGTATACACTCCCTGTCTTCCCTTAAACTAAGAGATTAAAATCACTTCATATCTTTCTTTCTACGAACTAATTCTTTCTTCCTATACTATATCCTTATTGCAATCCTCCTATATATTACCACCTCTGAGTTAACTACTTTTATGAATCCGGTGTTCATCTTGCTGTGCTAATGAGGTATGGCAACCTGGACCGATGCACATATGTGCCTGGTCCTACGTTGTAGCTGACTGACTGACTCGCTTTAATTTCTCGCTTCTCATTTTAGTATGTCTGAGTAAACGAGTGACTGAAGTCAATTCATCCTGCTTAATCCGTATGTGGCTTCTAATTACTGCCGTCGCTCAAACAGGTTTAGCTTATGTGTAGTATATGGAGTCAAATGGAAGGTTTATATCTATCCGTTCGTCGAAAACTTAGACTGCGGGACGCTAAAGTGATGGACCACTAGAAAGTAAGCGTCAGGGGTTGTGAAGGAACCTGAATACGTCACGGGAACTCAGTGTTTATTAACGCTACCTTCCGAAACTTCTCATACAAGGACCGTAAATCCAATCAGACCAGGAGACGAGAATGAATGGATGCGAAGATATATTTGAATAATGGTTGATGCTCCGAGGTGTGTGTATTCCAATATGACTAGTTCCAAGAGATGCGCAGCACAGCATACCCGAACGTTATCTAAAGTGTATGCTTAACCGAGCGCTTCCAGCCAACAGTGTGCCCAGTAAAACTAATCGGGTCAGCATAGACATCGAAGACTTATCAAACTAATGATTTTGTAGACGTTTTTACCGCTACCCCCCCTTCTCTAGTGAGGGCCGTGATACGTTACAAGTCAGAAGTTTATATTTAATGAGCTTGTTGTTAGTAAACACTCGATAGCTTGCTATGTCCAGAAGCGTTTGGTCGTTTTTTCCCCACTACAGGAAGTCATTGAGTCAATGATGAAAATGTACAAAAATAAGTGACTTGGTTCTCTGAATTCGTCTTCGTTTTTTCATCTTTTTCAGTCGTCCTGGATGATAAAGTAATAGTAATGTAAGTGCCCAATACGCATACCTTCGGAAACAGCAACCTGCAAATTCACCCACTTATGGTATGTCTTACGTCAGCTAATAGAATCTAATATTACACTAAATGCCTACATGGGATATCGTAGTCAGTGCAAATTCACACCATGTTATTATTACTACTAACCTAACGATGCTATAGTTTCACGTTCTAGAGGGGAAGTTGAGTTGAGAAATTTTGCATCTTTTCATTATAAATAATATTTTATTTGTTATCAGTCCAGTGTTATTTATTCTTGTATTTACTTCTGACTAGATGAAATCTGGTAGTGGAAAACGGTTACCAATTGCTTCGACACCAAAAGTTACTGAACTTGAAGGATTCATCCCTCCATCTACTACTTATCGAGTAACTCGATCACGTGCGATCAATAACCAAACTTCAAGTACATGTAAAATGAATACAACTCGTGTAACTAACACTAATATAAATCATTATACAACAGCTAATGATACTTTAACCACTATGGATAAAACTTTACGACCTAATTCTACACAAAAATTATCTAAAGAAATGAGAGTAAGATTTATTATTTTTTCTCTACAGTTTATAGTCAATAGTTATATTATAATTGTAAATATCCATTCAGAAACAATAAACATATTTATTTTCCTAACTGTAGACCTATTGGATATGGAGAGATAAATGGTAAAAGGATAGTCCTCAAATGCCCTGGTACGGCCGAGATTGGTGAGAATCTTCTCTCCCTCTCGAAATGCTCTCACATGGCTACGCGTATATAGCCTCTGCCAGGGAAGTCCTACTCACTGACTTCTCGTGGCATTACTGTTGTTTACGAATTTCAGAGGACGAAAAGCGAATGTCCGGCGCTTTAACCGGACTGGTGGACATAGATAGTCCACCTAGAGGAGTTGGAAAACCCTGATTCCAAACCACTGGTGTACATGGGCTCCAGTATCCTGAAGGAACAAATGGCGTATGAACCAATCGTTGGTCATCGGCTACCATGGGACCGCATCTCCTTACGATGCTCCACTGTCTTATAGATCAGACCTGTAGGTCGAAGGCTCCGGGTGTTGGCCCCCTAAGAAAACCACCTGCTTCGGTTTGGGCACCCGGGCAGTATCACAGCCCTCACACATATCAAATAAGATCTGTGTGGCGCATATGTATTTGGTGCCTCCTTGTACCAATATCTGTGTTAAAATAAATAAATAAAAGTCAGACAATTCCATTCATTTAAAGATTAAAAACTGAATGTATGAATTCTAGTAATTTCAGTTGTGAGAGTGAAACATCAGGGATTTAAATGTATCAAACTTATTATTCAAAGAAACAAAACTAATATTAGTGAACTACTTTTTCTCTTAGATACAAACTAAAACTATAAAATTACGTTTCTCCGTCAGTTATAGACTTCGACTTTATATAACTATTTATCAAGACAAGATAATATGAATACCTTATTTACTGTAATAACACAGATGGCTTCCTTACGTATAATAGAAATAGAAACATAGTTAATAAACGTTTGCGATAGACGGATGCGAAGATATTTAGTCATGTTTTTCATATGCAAAACTATTAATAGTAGTAGGTATTAGAACGAGGTTCGTAACAGTTTATCATCATAATAAAGTGATATGTCCGATAAAATACTTGATGCTCCTATTAATATCTGCAGATTTTGACCGAATCAGTTGTGACAATCGATGTCCCCTTAAGACCATCCAAACAACGACCGAATTAAAGTTAGATTAGTTTCTTCTCATGTAATCAAGTGTGTAAACTTACGTTTAGTTTCTAAACTTCAGTCTTTATATGATTCCAGTGAAATAAGAAAGAGCTTGATTAAATTTACACATTTTGAATAAGCGTAATATAGCCAACATAGCTCGATTGACTCATCACGATAGCCAAGCCCATGGCTCAGGATCAATCACAATGGCGTAGGTGTATACACTCTCTGTCTTCCCTTAAACTACGAGATTAAAATCACTTCATATCTTTCTTTCTACGAACTAATTCTTTCTTCCTGTACTATATCCTTATATGGAATCTTCCTCTTATATATTACCACCATTGAATTGACCACTTCGATGAATTTGGTGTTCATCTTGTTGTGCTAGTGAGGTGTGGTAGTTTGGACCGGTTCATATATGTGCCTGGTCCTGGAGTACTGTATGTGAACAACGTCAAGTAGTTATTTTCTGTTAAAAGAATAGTATGTATATATAATGCTCGACACAACTATTTTTTTATAGTAGAAGTGAATAACTCTACTGTCAATAATTGTAAATCGCTTTTTTATCCCGGTTAATAGGATAAATTATTATCGAAGATTGATCGTAACAATATACAGCTATCATCACCGGAAGCACAGCATCTACGTAATCTTATTGTAACACTTCAAGATGCATTGAACCGTCATATTCAATCAAGAAGAAAATGAAAAAGCAAGTCAATGCTTGACGCAAACTTGTCTCTGTTTTATAACTTTGTGCAATCAATAACTTGTCCAGATTTCATAAGTGTAAAGAAAATATGATAATTTAGTTGTGTTAATGTTATTATTCTTTGTTTACTGATGTATATATGATAAAGTCTAACTACAATACTCAACCAATATTTTGTTCAGATATTTACTAAATTGAAGGTTTATTACAAAATTGTCTGGGATATGAATCACTAATTGGCGCGATATCGTGTTGTATTTGGTTGATCGACAGATGATTCTAATCCCATGCTACAATCTCAATGATACTGTAAATTCACGAACTTCCTGCTTACAAACATCTGTTTTTTACAACAACTTACAAGGTTGCCATTGAGGTGTAATAAGGCCGTGATGAATACTAAATACAATAGTAACTCTTGAATGGCTACCTCTAATATGATCTTTATTAGCAACGTGTTAATAAACTCCATAATGACATTATTTTCACCTTAAAGTTGTTTGTAGCCTAGAAATTACTTTTTCTATCGTACAAGCCATACTTGCTTTGGGATATTATGAAGCATGATTAAAATATACAGTTGGGATTTACCAACTTTAAATTTCTATGCAGAAACATGGCGACATTGTACCATTTCCTTTTATGTACCTTTTGACTTGGGTGTGATTATCGAAGATATAGTAGGATATTACCGCTGTTTCGTTATAATGATAAAGTTTTCAGTAGGGCATACAAATCAGTTAACGAGGTAAATGGCTTCATTTTGTACAGACACTTCAAACATGGGTTACATGTTGTTAAACACATACCTAGACAACGATATATAGGTAAATATACAGATGGAATGGCTGAGACATATATTATACATGTCTAAGTCAACGTACCACTTTGTTTGGCATGGGAGTGAATTGGGAGAAAATTAAGGACGATCAAACTCAGATGTGGCATCAATCCATGGAGTTACTGACTGTTGAATCAGACATTGTATGTGGGTGAAGACTACATAGCTAAGGTCCGCCTGATCAATTGCTGAAAACAAGTGACACGATCTATAACCAGTTATATTGGTGCTGATGCATTCACTCTTTATCTCCTTTCAAGTATCTAGTTTTAGTATTCCTTCATTAATACCTTTTTATTTCGTCATCTATGACAAATAGTCATAGCTCAAATCAATCGCAACGTGCATCCGATCTCAGTTTTTTAATTACTGTGCTCCGCAGTCGTTGCTTATTTCCCCATATATTTTCTCAGTTGTATCAAGATGTGGAGAATTCAATTATACCGAGTTCTGAATTGTTTAGTTTGTCGTAAAATTGTCAGATTATGGTTTGACTTTTTTCATTTCAGTCTTGCTTTAGACTATATTGTATTTAGGATGGTGAAAAGCTAAGCTATGCGCTGTTCATATTCCAATTTTGGTCGGCAACTTAACTCCTTCAGTCTTCATCCCAATGATATCATCTAAGTACTGATCCCCTAAAAAGCTACCATGAACTCAAGTGTCATCAAACACCATCGTTAACAATGAGTCAACAGTTTTCGTATTTGTATTCAAATCTCAACTTTAGGTTATTCCATTAAAAGACGAATAGATTACCAGCTATTTTAATGTTTGGATTTAGTACCCATCAAACTTTCCTTTTTCCCACTCAACATTAAATGGTTAAAATTTGATCTTATTGCAGTGCTGTAATTGTGTTTTTCTCACTGCTAACGGGTAAGAATTTGTTACACAGAATCAGGTTTACAACTACAATGACTAAACAGTTGTCCTATAGTAGATACTGAGATATTCAAATGACTAGCAACTATCTGATAATGGGTGCTATAGTCGTAATAGTACATGGCGTTTTAACTAATCTATGTAATCTGCAGAAACACCCAGCTGTGTATGCAAGCGAAGTAGTAGGACGAAGTTACTCATCCGTCAATTTAATAACCAATGATGAGTATAAAGGAGTTCTGTCCTGTAGTCAAACATAAGATGTTTTAAATAACTCCATGTACTAGAATGAAATTTTGGCTACACACATGTTTTAGACCTGAAATATGTGACAAGATGCTGATTGATTGTTGAAGTAAAACTTACATAAAAACACTAATTTACCCGTATAGGTATTCCTGTAGTTAGAAATAACTAAAATCACTTAAGCACGTAACAACCTCTGGTGGGATGTCAGAGGACACTTGCAGCTGAGTAGAATGATTTTGGTGACTTGTATGATCCTGAATAAAATTTGTGGTTACGCTTCGAGAACTAAATTAAAAGTATTCAATAACAAATTTATTTAAAAAAGCACGAATCAAATACACTAAAAGTACATATTTACAATAACTGCATGTACAAGAGCCATACCATCTCGTGTAATACATCGGTATTAAAGGGTCATCAAGTTTTAGTGTCACAAGTCGATAATGTAATTATATAAAAAATTTATGTACAGTGACAATTTTCGATGAACTTAGCGGAATGGTCTTGGTGGACTAGGGGGCTCCGCCTTAATGGAGATTTTGCGCGGTGGGGAAGGACTTGGATTGCGTAGTCGTCTCGGAGAGTTTCTTTGACTAATGTCTTCCCTTTTTGTTTCTGAATGAGGTTCTCTGTTTTCCCTAAGCCTTGGCTCTCGGTTCTCTCTATGTCTTGACTCTCCATTTTCTCTAGGTCTTGACTCTGGATTATGACGTTTCTCCCGACCATTCCGCTTCTGAATAGCTTCTAGGCGTCGCTTCTCTGCCTCGTCTTGTTCCTGTTGAATTTTTTTCAATTGTTTCATCACTTCTGGACCACATCCATGCTCTTTAACAAATTCCGAAACAGAGTCAGTAGGTCGTTTGTGCTCTGGCTTTTTATCCATATGTCCAACATCAAGAATTCCGTCCTTTGGTACTCGATATTTTTCGACATGGTCTACTCGGATTATACGACCTCCTAGTTTTATTCCATTTAAATTATCAGTAGCTAGAACAGTACTTCTTTGATCTTCATAACACACAAATGCAAATCCCTTTGACACACCTGTCTTTTTATCCCGAACTAAATTGATATTAACAATCTCACCATACTGAGAAAAAACACAAATAACATCACCTTCAGTGAGATCGTAATGTAAACCACCCACATAGATCCAAGCCGAATCTTTGTACTGTCTATGCCAACTGCTAACTGTCCCTGTGTGACCGAGCGATAACTCCTTCTCATTCATTAAATTCTGATTTTTGGCATTCGTAATTGGATTCATTGTGGAACCGTTCTATCTAGAATAATATTGTAAAAAATAAATAGGTAGACAAAGAGAGGATTATTTTACAATCAGTGTCAGTCATCAACAACGTAGAACTTTGTACGTATGTATATCAGTTCGAGTTGACATACCATATTAGTAAAGAGATTTTATTTTTTTATCTAACACATAGATATTGGTACAAAGAGGCACCAAATACATATGCGCCACACAAATTTCATTTGATATGTGTGAGGACTGTGATACTGCCCGGGTGCCCAAACCGAAGCAGGTAGTACAGAGATACAATTGTCCATTCAAATCCCGTAGTGGTAAAGGCAGTAAAATTATAAGCAGTAATCAGAAAGATTAGGGTTTGAAGATGTTATTCAAGGAGTATAATACAGTGAAATAAATTTGGAAAGAAAATAAGGGACATGAAGAATTCAGAAGATTAGAAATTGGGAGGACACAAAGAATGGATGCACTTGTGCCATTGCAAACGATTTTGAGCTATGTCATTCAGGGTCTCCAACCATCGGTTGCTATTGTCTCGCGGATCCCAGCTAGGTAGTTTACACCTACCAACATGGCTCAGTCCACTTGTCAGTGACTTCATGCATTTGTGCCATGTTTTGGTCTGGCCACCCCTAACTTTCTTCCAACCTACTCCTATACCATAAAATATCGCATGTCGGTAGTTGGGCATACGTAACACGTGTCCTAGCCATCTCAACTGATGAAGTTTCACTACTTCAATTGATTTGCCATTCTTACCTAGTACCCGTTTCCTAAAAACTGCATTACTTACTCAGTGGTCCCAGGATATACGAGCAATGTTTCGAAGACACCTATGATCAAATGCTAGTAACCTACGAATATCCTCTACTCTTACCGGCCATGTTTCACTGCCATAAAGTAGGACGGAACGAACTGTTTCACAGTAAACACGTCCTTTGCTTGATAGACGGATATCTCGCCTACGCCTACCATTCTAGTGAATTAAATAGTAATAAAATTAGTTGTTGTCATGCCACATGTTGTGTTGGTAAAGTTGGTTTAGCAGAGATAACTAGATTTAAAGTAATGTAAATTTACAAACTGACTTAGTACTGTAAGTTTTGACACTGAACTTAGAATACTACACAAAGTTTGACCTTACTGTGTACCCTAAAACTATATATGAACGGAACTAATGCAGTGATCAAATTGGAACAAACATCGCTTCCAAACAAATGCACGCACAACACGTGAAGTTAGACATTCCGAAATATCTCCTTATGGATTATTTAATCTTGTGTTTATAACTAATAGGATATATTATTCAAGTGCGAATTGATGACCTAGAACTTTTATGCTACCTGATTACCTAAACCAAAGAACATAAAAATGTTTGAACATGTGAACCAGTGGAGTCAGGTACTTTAGGAACTAAGTATTAACTTTACTTCAAGTTCTAGAAAGCTTATTTGCCATCAAATTCTGGTCTTGGTGATACAAAGCGTGCGGCAGTAACCCCGTATTTTCTGAGATTAGACATAATAAATGCTTACCAACCAAATGCAAAACATTCACAAGTCATATGTAACTGTTTCTTTAAATTTTTCCGTTTCACTACAGGGATTATGTTATGTTTCACAACTTCTTTACAGAATGATGTGTACTTTGAAGCTGACTACTGACAATTCTACTTGACCGAATAAATGTAGCCCACGCAGTTTGTACGATAATAGAGATCCAGAAGCACAATAACCAAAAGAAAGCTTACCACAATGAGAAGCTGATGTCAGTCAGCTACAACGTAGGACCAGGCACATATATGCATCGGTCGAAGTTACCATACCGCATTAGCAAAGCAAGATGAACACCGGATTCATAGAAGTAGTTACTTCA